CCCCCCCCCCCCCCCCCCCCCCCTTTCAAAAATCCTGCATCAGCCCCTGGTAACGTAGGCCTAGGCCTAGGCCTATGTATAGGCTATCGTTTGAAGACAACTTCCCACTTTTTTGTCCCATTTCTATATTTCATTGAAGTTGGAGACAGCTTACAGTTAGTTATTAAAAACATAGGTAGGCCCTAATGTATGTATCGATGGATATCAAAATCGGCATGACAATGTAACAAAGAGGAATGTGCAACGTGGAATCAAACGTGCCCGCATATGCATGACGCCGCGCGCACTCACATAGTAGCGCCGACGGACAACAACTTATTTCAACAACAATTTACACGCAATTTGGCAAAGTATGCATCGGTAACGTAGCCTATGTATCATGTAAATAATTTTTACAAATCATTTGAAGACAACTTCCCTCTTTTATGTATCGATACATACGTTACCGCTTTATAGGGGAGACCGGGGCTAGTTGGCCCAGTTAGACACTTTTGGCCTTGTAGAGCCAACTAGGAATGAGTTAGAGTAACAAAACTGGTTTCAAAGTAAGCCCCGTGAATTAAGCTACGTATGCAACGCAATATTTTTCAAATATAGCCCAATGCCAGATGGCTCACAGTTTGACAAAAAACGCAGTCTGTAATCGCCCACACTTTGGATTTGACCCCCCCTTAAATAAAAAGTTTCGAAAACCCGACTTTTCATAAAAATCAGTTGCTCTGCTCAGTAATCATATTTGAAAAAAATAATAAATTCGTCTACTGACTCTGTTTTTATAAAATCCGCACTCGTTAACCAACTTATCAATCTTGATTAGTCTAAAGTTGATTTGCTTATTTATGCACCCAAAGACAGCGTAAATTCTAAAATTTCACATCTCTATGAAGTCTGCGATAAAGACGACGATTTATCGCTTAAGTACTGGCGCTTTTTACCTCCGCCAAGGAGGTTATGTTTTCATAAGTAGTACGATAGTCTCTGGGAATGGTCCCATAGTATGTGAACAATGTACGTGCTACGTGTAGGCTATGTCACATGGAGGAACCTTTCGTAAAAGAGTGATTCACTAGCTGTTTATTGCTCGCGTAACCAGCATGAACCACAGATGATTCCTCTGCACTATAGAGGTGTCACCTAACGTGTAACGCATGGGCGGATTTAGGGGGGTGTCAGAGGGGTCCTGACCCCCCCCCCCCCCCTTCGATTTCTGATGAAAAAAAAAATCACACACCCATATGGTCCCCTCTTGAAATTAGAATTTTGACTAGCTGAATCATAGTTCTAAACCGTACCAGATGGCACTGTTCTTCCTCTAAAATACCAAAATATTTAGGGGCCCGAACCCCACGCCATATGGTCCCCTCTTGAAATTAGAATTTTGACTAGCTGAATCATAGTTCTAAACCGTACCAAATGGCACTGTTCTTCCTCTAAAATACCAAAATATTTAGGGGCCCGAACCCCACGCCGCTTCGAATTCGAGGACCCGCTCTTCAAATAATCTTGGATCTGCCCCTCAGATAACGCCTTTCTGGTCGCCAAGTTCCTACCATAGTGTAGGTTCGGGCGGTCACAAATGAAGGAAAAATAAATTTTGTGTCTGTGAGAGGAAGATATAGCCTACATGTACAGGTATATATCTCCCTAGAAAACCACCAGATGTGGAGTGTCTGTCAGAAAGTTTGCAGGATGGAGGGCACTGCATGGTGATACATGCATATCTGATAAATCACCAAGAGGCCACCCGGAGAAGGCTAGTGTCAGACACAACAGGTATTAATAGGACTTGCATTATTCGTCTCGTTTTCGATATTGAGCGCAATGCATTGTGGGTAAAGTGGGACCCATCTTCACTCGGAACTACTCGGATGTCTCCGCACTCGACAATAATATAGTATGGAGCTTGCGGAATGAGCCGAGGATTGCCGATTGACCCATCTTGCGTTGCCGCCATTTCTGTACACAGAAATAAAATGCCTTCTATGTGTTTTGTGCCTGTTTGTTTCAACAATACGAAGCGAGATCGAAATTTTTCATTTTATGCTTTCCCCAAGGACCCAAAAAAGAGAGGTATATGGATTGACAATATTGGACGAGCGGGAAATGAAGGCAAATTTAGTAAGTTCGAGCCCGCCAAGCATCACCGTGTGTGTAGTGCTCATTTTGAAGGAGGGAATAACTCGTATTTGGGCGGTAGATCAACTATATTTTCACTCAAGGAATCGAAGATTTGTAAGCCCCGAAGAAAATGTATTAGAATTTAACTGTTGATAACTCTGAGACAAAGTTCAGTGAACCTGGTGTCAAGTGGGAAGTTGAACAGCGAGGACGAAAATGGCTTCTCAAATACAGACCACAATGCCTACTGCATTGTATCAGATGCAGGCTCAGATGCGCTTTTAACGACAGTTAAGCAAAAACAACATATTATTTTCAGTATGGGACAGAAAATCCGATCTTTAGATATTGAACTTTCGGAAACAAGAGTGGAATTACAACGAGCAAAAAAGAAAAAAAAATGCATAAAGAAATAGTGTGACAGAGAAAAAGTACAGAAAATGCTGGAACAACTGTCCAAAGCACATGAGGAAACCTACGAGGAATTAAAAATTTCCATGGCTTTTTATACCATGACATTACCTCAGTATAAAAAAATGGCATGAAAACTGTCATGTGAAACTTTGGTTTGATTTCACAGCAAGGTTAATGCTGGTTTTAGTTTTACTTTGGTTTTAGAGTATTGTTATCGCCACTGCTTAGACCTGAGTAAAACTAAAACCAGGTTTAAACCTGACTGTGAAGGAGTATTGAATGGTATATTATACTTATGCAAATAACAAAAAAGAGAACACGTTTACCAAATATCTCATTTTTATTATCACAATGCACTTGAACATATCTAGAAAATGTTTAAAACATTGCATTTTAAAACATGAATCAGAAATATCGTAAGGTATCTTGGAAAGATATTTCCAATGCAGCATCATTGGTTTTATTATGCAAAATAAAATTGTGAAATGAAATATTGAATTGAATTTATAAATAGGCAAATATTAAAAAAAAAAAAAACGGTTTGGGCATTCCCTTCAAGGACTTGGTCTATTCTCCACTGTCTTGATTCAAACTTCAATCTGGTAGGCCTACTTTTAATTTTCTCTGCCGTCTGGATCCTATATTTTGTTTCTCTCTCTATCCTCACTACATACAGTTTTCACCTATAAAACAAGTAAAAAATAGTCATGAAAATAATTATTAAAGTCATCATCAACACATCTATAACAGTGATTTATTTACATACATACATACATACATACATATTAGACTGATGACAAAACAGAAAATTGACATGACTAGTCATATCATATATTTTTTTAACCGAAATCTACCTGGATACACAACAGAAAGATAATGAAGAAGAAACAAAGGATAGATGCACTGATATTGACAGTGAGCTTGTACTAATTACCTGTACAGTGCACTAGCCCACCTCAGAGATTGTATCAGATAATTGTCTGAACCAGGTGACAAATTTATCTCCCCAATAAATGCCTCAGGTGAACATAATTACATAATGACCACATTAGGGTTTTGTATTTGGTCTTGTATTTAAGAAAATATCGTGTAACATACCTTTTTATCAGCTCTTCTTTTTTTGCCTGATGTGTGGGCATCCTACATTTTAACCAACTTTTCAACTCCGGCACCGTTGTCGCCTCAAATGGCTTGTTTAATATCGCCCCCGGCATGTCTTATGCTTCCAACATGTGTTCCTATCGCTGTCAACAACGCTTCCGGTACTATTTTGATCCCTGCAGTGCACAATTCCGGTCATGCGCACATCGCACCTTTCGAATAATGCAAGTCGTATTAACCTTTTTCATCTTTTGCGGAAATACGAAGTACGCATGACAGGAACCGCGCGCCACAGGGGTTATAGTGGTCCTCTGCTGTTTCCAGCATGGCAATGCTAGGTGTAGATGATGTACAAGGTGCGCATATAAAAAGGCCGTATGAAGCGTGCATTGCTTTCTGTCAAGCTAAAAAGGTGGCTGAAGCACAGAAATGCGTAAACTGTAGGCAAGAAACAGCTATTTGGACGGAGAATCAAGCAATTGAATATTTTCTTTCTCAGTTTAAATACGATGCGCTTTACAACTAGATTTCACCTAAGCGTCCGAGCCTTGGCTGTACTTTCAATAGTGATGACGAACTAAAGCTTCGGAGTTCTTTTAAATGCTTCCGATAATAAAGATATGCGAAAGAGACTCGTTATTTTTTTAATATATAAAATCAAAATAGCCAGTAGACTCGTACACAGCTTTCAAGAGTGTGGACAGGTGCGCAGGCCTACGTCTTCACAATTATGTACATGTATATATGCAAGCTGTGGCGATATCACCTCATGTACCGGCAGTGTCAATTCATTACGATTTTTATGTCTTGCTTGAAGGATATCTTAAGAGATTTTTAAAGTGATAAAATGAAAAGATTTCCTGCATTGTAGCTACTGTGTATACAGGTAAAACTGACACGCAGATCGTTCGTCGGTGAACTGATTAAATCGTTTGGTACCTGATAAGGCATCAGGTGTTACTTGTTCAATTGTTCGGTAAGGCGGGCGGCCACAACTACGACCTTTCCTCTGTAATTAAAACCTTTTAAGTGTTAAATAGGTGAGACAGGAATTCTCGACTCTTTCCCAGACGATAATTAAAGTTTACCGTGTCTTACTCTAGTATATGTACAAAATTTACGACAGGTAAAAAATGTCAGCCTTTCGGTCTGACAAGTATGAAAATTTTGTCAAACTGAAACAAAAACAANCTTCCCGCCTTCGAAATGTTCAGCGCAAACGCGGTGCCCTGCTTTTGATCCAAACCTGCTATATTTTCCTTTCTTTCTACCATATTTTTCATTCTAACGGGTTTGTTGGGAACTTATTAAACCTCATGTGTCGATCTCGCTTACTGTTATTGTAGTAGCGGGACAAAAAGCGCGTAAACCCAGATATGGTTTTTAGCACCGCTGTAAGTGTTTCGACGTAGCAGGGCTCCCCTACCCACAATGCAATTTCAATTTCCGGAAAAGATGAAAAAGGCTAATATGCTGCCAAGACTTAAGAGATTTAAATCGTCCAGCGAATTTGCTTTGCAGTGGTCGCGCAATTTGCAGGTTGAGGTCAGCCAGCCAAAGCAATGTTCAAAGAAGGCGCCAATGCTACAGGAGGAGTTCATTGCAAAGGTTGAAATTTTACGTTATTAATATCTTTGGCAAAAGACAGTCAATATTTAAGGTTTCAGACGAACTAATAAAATCTAACTATACTCAATGAGTCATACTAAGTGTTGTATCTTTTTTCGCTAAAAACCAACGCCAATGAATGTGGCTTGTCCTGAAGATGAATAGTATCGAATATATCGAATAAGGTTTTTACCCTTTTTACATGTATGGTGTTTTTTACCAATAAGTTGCACTGCCTCGTACGGAAACAATAGTAAAAAGCCAGATGGATTAGTGCAACGTTGCTGTATATCAAGGGTTTTCCAAGAGAACCACCCAGCCGGCATTTGGACGACCGCCAGCATCACCGGCCGGCCTATATTTTCAAAGACGACAGGACGGCTTATGGATTTATTTTGGAAATATGAGGGCTTTAGGCACATATGGACTACTGATATTTTGTAGGAATTACAGGTGCTAATTTTGAGCGGTCTGTACCCCCAATCCTGGGAAAAGCCCCGCTGTATATCATCAACGATTTTATTGCTGGTGAGGACGCAACATATACGTGCACATAACTTCACCTCGCCTCCTCAATGATTATCTAAATCACAACACCATGGCCGACTGACACCCAGTGAAAACGGTGTGCAAATACAGTACGTTTCTTACAAATACAAATTCCAGAGGTTAACGAACACAACCAACTGATTAATATGGAATTAGCCCATTTAAAGAATAACTATACAAATACAAGAGTTGTGAAAAGTGATTTAGTGTCACAAAGTTCTATACAACATGAAAAGACTCACACTGTAGTAAAAACATTTAAATGTCGGTATTGTGAAAAGAGTTTCAGAGAGAAAACTAACTGTATACGCCATAAAAAGACCCACACTGGTGAAAAACCTTTCAAATGCCAGTATTGTGATAAGAGTTTTAGTGAGAAATGTAACTGTATACGCCATGAAATGACCCACACTGGAGAAAAACCATTTAAATGCCAGTATTGTGTGAAGCGTTTTTATGAGAAAAGTAACTGTAAACAACATGAAATGACCCACACTGGAGAAAAACCATTCAAATGCCAGTATTGTGACAAGAGTTTTAGTTTAAAAAATAGATGTAAACAACATGAAAGGACCCACACTGGAGAAAAGTTATTTAAATGTCAGTATTGTGAAAAGACTTTTACTGACAAAACTACATGTATACGGCATGAAAGAACCCATACTGGAGAAAAACCATTCAAATGTAGGTATTGTAAAAGAGGTTTTAGTGTCAAAAGTAGATGTACGCGACATGAATTGATCCACACTGGAGAAAAATCATTCAAATGCAAATATTGTGAAAAGTGTTTTATTGACCAGAAGAAGTGTATTCACCATGAAAGGACCCACACTGGAGAAGCATTCAAATGCCACTATTGTGACAAAAGTTTTAGTGAGAAATATGACCGTATACGACATGAAAGGATTCACACTGGAGAAAGACCATTCAAATGTCAGTATTGTGAAATGAGTTTTTGTGAGAAATATAACTGTAAACGCCATGAAATGAAACACACAGGAGAAAAACCATTCAAATGTCAGTATTGTGAAAAGAGTTTTTTAGACAAAAAAAAGTGTATTCAACATGAAAGGACCCAGACTGGAGAAAAACCATTCAAATGCCAGTATTGTGAAAAGAGTTTTATTAAGAAATGTAAATGTAAACAACATGAAATGACCCACACTGGAGAAAATCTGTTCAGATGTCAGTATTGTGTAAAGAGTTTTACTAACAAAAGTACATGTATAAAGCATGAAAGAACTCACACTGGAGAAAAACCATTCAGATGCCAGTATTGTGAAAAGAGTTTTAAGGAGAAATATAGCTGTAAACGGCATGAAAAGATTCATACTGGAGAAAAACCATTCAAATGTCAGTATTGTGAAAAGAGTTTTGGTGACCAAAGTACATGTACACGACATGAAATAATCCACATTGGAGAAAAACCATTCAAGTGCCAGTATTATGAAAACAGTTTTGATGATAAAAGTAACTGTGTACAACATGAAATGAGGATTCACACTGGTTGTTCTCAACAGTCTTTCAAGAAGGAATGTCAAAACGAGGATGCATCACATGGAGCTAAGGTTTCTCCTCAGTCTATCAAAGTAGAATTTCAAGATGAATATACGGCTCCAGGGACAAAGGAACAAAGGGAGTTCTATTCTGTAGCTATAGTAAAAAAGGAATTTAATGAAAACATTGCCCAAAAAAAGAGACCAGAAATATATCCTGTGGCAATGTTTAGAAATGTATTTGCGGATGCAGATGTATAATGTCAATTAATACTTGAATTTAATGTGCATGACAAACATTCGGGTGCAACTAATAATATCAAGTGAAAAAATAAATTATTTTATGACTGAATGTCAAAAGAAAAAAAAAATTATGACATGACGAAAGAAAATAAAACTAAAAAAAGATGAGACTTTATTTTCATTGATTTTTTTTTTTTTTTTGAAAGCTAAAGACTAAGTTTGTAACTGAGTCAGTACATGATACTCTAGGTTTTGGTATTGCCAGCTCGATCTTGATTTCATATATAGCCCACATCACCAATACTGCAAGCACTGTAAATCTAACACATGAAAAGGTATAATGAGCAATCTAGCTTTACAGTGCCCTGACACTCAGGGTAGTGCATGCCAGTAGAAGGCAACAAAAGCATGTGGTTTGATGTTGAAATAATAGAGACAAAAGCAAGTATGGATAATCGTGTAAAATTTGGTGGCAAGTTTAAGGAACTGATGTAACATTTTTCTTTGAAAAATTATAGAAAATTCTTTAGATATACAATACTGCTATTTTAAGAATAAAAGAGAAATTTGCAGTATAATTACATCCACTTTATGTACTTTAATTTTTGTGTGAATTTTTAATTTTTCACTAAGTTGTCTTTTTTCAAAACTCCCATGAACCTGAGGACCCACACAGTTTTATAATATCCATATTACCTCTAGTCTCTTGTGTCTGGTATCTTGTCCTTGCAGGACATTGACTGTCATGAACCTCCACAACTTCCTTTCTTCAGATGATCTCAGAATTGTTTCACTGGACACACCCATCAATAAACCTTATTTCTTGGTCTTCCTCTGCTTTTCTTTCCTTTGCTTTTTCCCTGTGACCAATCCTCATATCCTCATTATATGTCTCTAACTGCCTCTTTCTAATTGTTTTCAGCAAATTTCTTCTCCTTCCCTTTCAGCTCTTTCTAGGAATTCATTGTTGCTGATATGGGGTAGATGATTATAATTACACGTACATACAGTATATTTTACATGTATTTTCATATTTTATTTTGTATTAATAATGTAGTGATTGTAAGCAAAAGGATCAGTATCACAAACCGTACTACCAAATTTAATTCAACATACCATTTAAAAAAAGAAGAATGCATTGCAGCCAGGGGCAGATCCAGGATTATTTGAAGGGGGGGGGGGATTCACAGATGCAAAGCCAACTCTCTTCCCCCACCTCCCCCGTTCCTGGCCCGCTGAAAGGGCCCCCCAACAAATTGGTCTTTTAGAGAACGAAAGGTGCCATTTGGTACAGTTTAGAACTATGATTCAGCTCGTCAAAATTCTAATTTCAAGAGGGAACCATTGGTGTGATTTCTTTCAGAAATCGAAGGGGGTGTCAAGAAATCTGCCACTGATTGCAGCAGAGTGTGTTAAACATCAGTTCCATCAGGCAATAAATTGAGATGAGCCATCTGTATTTAGTAAAAGTGAAATAGATGAAGTTAATATTTGTTGAATTAAGAAAGCAAGTCTAGCTCTGTGAGCAATTTTATTTATTTATTTTATGGATACCATCTATGATTTAACATCTACATCAAAATTTTTATTAAACGTTTATATCATTATGAGATCTTAATTTTTATTCGTATAAGGCAACCGATATTTACGGCTTCAGATCTAGATCAACTCCGAAAATCTATTTTATCCTTTGTCGTTAAAAACCAAAGAAAATGATTTGGGATTTGGTCTGTCCTGAGCATGCATAGTATCGAATAACAGTATTTTACCCTTTTTACGTGCATTTCGTTAGTGAGCAAAACGAACAGAAAGGGACGCATGTATTCATTTGCTGTGTATCAGCAACGATTTTGTCGCTGGCCAGGTTGCAACATTAACCTGCACATAAACTTCTGCTCGCCTCTGAGAAGATCATCCAAATCGCAACCTACAAATCTACATTATTTTAGAAATTACTTTTCTATGCCATGGTATGGGGATCGACATTTGTTTTGTATACTTTAACCGATTTTCATCGTTTTTTCCAGAACCAACTGCTCAATACATTAAAGGACACACACTAAAGAGAAACCACCAATATACTAATAGCAATGTTATAAAAGGAATTGTCTACCAAACTCTGCTGTGTTAAACATATAATTACTCAATTAAAAAAATAACTTGAAAGGAGTTCTAAGACAAAAGTTATAGTATGCGACACAAAAAAATCAACACTGGTGAAAACCCAAGCCAGTGCCAGAACTGTGAAAAGTCTATAAATAAGAAAAGTAACTGTAAACAACATGAAAGGATCCAAAATGGAGAAAAACCATTCCAATGCCAGTATTGTGAAAAGCGTTTTAGCGAGAAAAGTACATCTAAACAATGTGAAAGGATCCACACTGGAGTAAAGGCATTCAAATGCCAGTATTGTAAAAGGAGTTTCGGAGTAAGAAGTAATTGTATACGACATGAAAGGACCCACACTGGAGAAAAATCATTCAAATGCCAGTATTGTGAAAAGAGTTTTAGAGCAAAAGATAACTGTAAACGCCATGAAATGAGACACGCAGGAGAAAAACCATTTAAATGCCAGTATTGTGAAAAGAGTTTTTATGAGAAAAATAATTGTAAACAACATGAAAGGACCCACACTGGCGAAAAACCATTTAAATGCCAGTATTGTGAAAAATTTTTTAATAAGAAACAAACCTGTAAACAACATGAAAGGATCCACACTGGAGAAAAACAGCAGAAAAGAACTCCCTCTCATATTGGAGAAAAACCACATTCAAAAACTTACACTGGAGAAAACGCATTCAAATGCCAGTATTGTGTAAAGAGTTTTACTATTAAAAGCAGTTGGTCACGCCATGAAATGATCCACACTGGAGAAAAACCATTCACGTGCCAATATTGTGGAAGGAGTTTTATTGATAAAAAGAAGTGTATTCTACATGAAAGGACTCACACAGGAGAAAAACCATTCAAATGCCAGTATTGTGAAAAGTGTTTTATTGAGAAAAATTCATGTATTCTACATGAGAGGACTCACACAGGAGAAAAAACATTTAAATGTCAGTATTGTGATAAGAGTTTTATTGAGAAAAGGTCGTTTATTCGACATGAAAGGACTCACACTGGAGAAAAACCATTCAAATGCCAGTATTGTGATAAGAGTTTTATTGACAAAAACACCTGTATTCAACATGAAAGGACTCACACTGGAGAAAAACCATTCAAATGTCGGTATTGTTTTAAGAGGTTTAACGACAAAAGAAACTGCAAACAACATGAAATAACCCACACTGGAGAAAAACCATTCAAATGCCATTATTGTCAAAAGGCTTTTAATAACAAAAATTACTGTAAAAAACATGAAAGGATCCACACTGGAGAAAAACAGCTGAAAAGAACTCACAGTGGAGAAAACTCATTCCAATGCCAGTATTGTGGAAAGAGTTTTACTGAAAAAAATAAGTGTATGCTACATGAAAAAACTCATACTGGTGAAAAACCATATAAATGCCAGTATTGTAAAAGAGGTTTCAGAGGAAAATCTCATTGTACACAACATGAAATGACTCACACTGGTGAAAAACCATTTAAATGCAAGTATTGTGAAAAAAAATTTGGAGTAAAAAGTAACTGTATAAGACACGAAAAGACCCACACTGGAGAAAAATCATTCAAATGCAAGTATTGTGAAAAGAGTTTTAGAGCAAAATATAACTGTAAACGCCATGAAATGAGGCACGCAGGAGAAAAAACATTTAAATGCCAGTATTGTAAAAACAGTTCTTTTGAGAAAAGTGCATGTATAGAACATGAAAGGACCCACACTGGAGAAAAACCATTCCAATGCCAATTTTGTTCAAAGTCTTTTATTAAGAAAAGTAACTGTAAACAGCATGAAAGGATTCACACTGGAGAAAAACAGCATGAGAGAACTTTATTGGAAAAGACTAATTAAAGGGATAGCAACTGTTCATTTTAGCCAAAAAATGGATTTTCCCAGGGCAGACCTACCCAACTACCAGACTCGTCACATAAGAATCCTGAATTAACTGGTATATCGGACCACAATACCCGTTTTCAAGGTGTGTGGTCAGATCACATTTCGGATTATCATACCCAAGAACAATTTTTGTAGGACGACCGCGGGCTCATCCTGTCAGTGTTCTGACTGATGCTCCGAAATGCGATCTGACACACACCTTGAAAATGGGTAGTGTGGTCTGATATACCGGTTAAGTCAGGATCCTTATGTGCCGAGTCTGGTAGTTGGGTAGGCCTGTAGGGTAAAGGACAATTTTCTCATACTACCAATGGTTAATGAATCCATTCCCACATTTAAAGTTAGTGCCTGTTTTTTTCTCAAAAGTTTGGTTTCTGTAATATTCTCTTAAGAGATTATTACAGAGTGTAGCTATCTATGGAGATCATGTGATGTGATGGCACAAATTCGAGAACAATTACATTAACCACTGTTTTTTGGTGGTAAAATGGAATTTGAAAATTTCTATGAGCTGTTTACATTGGATTTATTGTGAAATATGAATAATTTACAAACAATTGTTATACCTTTAATTCAAATGCCAGTATTGAATAAAGAGTTTTATTATCAATATTACATGTACACTGCTTAAAATGACTCCCACCAGGGAAAATTATTCAAATGACACTATTGTATAAAGTGTTTTAATTAGAAAAGTAAATGTTAACATCATGAAATGATGCACACTGGAGAAGGACCATTCAAATGCCAGTAGAGTGAAAAGAGTTTTTATGAGAAAAGAATTTGTAAACAACATGAAATGACCCACACCAGAGAAAAAAAAAAGCTATTCAATTGCCAGTACAGCAATCACTGTATCGTTTCAACAGGAAAATAGTGCATTTTACAGATACAGCTATTAATTTTTTTAAGTAATAAAAATTTTTAATTAGAACATTCCCATTGATTGATAGCAACACAATTGAAAAGCAGACTACTTAGTAGTTGTATTTTATACAGTAAAAGCACCAAAATGCTACAAGAAAAAAAAAATTTTTAATGATCCCAAAATTATGCATCAGAAAAAATGGTAATTTTTCCCTTTGAAATAAACAGGTCATTACCCTACTGTGGAAAAAGTTTTAATTTAAGAAATAGATGTACACAACATGAAAGGACCCACACTGGAGAAAATTTGTTCAAATGCCATACTGTGAAAAAAGTTTTATTGAGTAAAAGAATAAGACTGCATTGCCATAGATTTAGATCGATCCATCTAGATCGATCTAACTCCCTGGGGGGTTCACGCTAAATTGCTGTCAGCCGAACACGCACGGTAGTTAATTACCCCCTTACAGCTTTTAGTAGGCGGGACAGACATTTAAGCCGGCTAAGCTGACAGTAATCTAGTGAGACTCCCCACAGGGATAGATAGATCTAAAATCTGTGGGAATGGGGTCTAAGGCATGAAAAAACTTATACTCACTGAAGTCACTGGAGAAACCCCAGTTCATCATTCAGATGCCAGTATTGTGTAGAGTTTGTGTCAATAGTAGATGTACTGTACATGACATGAAATGATCCACACTGGCAGTATTGTAGAAAGAGTTTTCGTGATAAATGTTATTTTATTTTAATTTCAATATAAAGAATGGCTCCAGGACAAAAGTACAAAGAAGTATTGTTAAACACCCATGGTCCCCTAGTGAAATTAGAACTTTGACTGGCTGAATCATAGTTCTAAACCGTACCAAATGGCACCGTTCGGCCTCTAAAGTACCAAATTTTTTCGGGGTCCTTCAGCGCGCCCCAAACCCCACACCAAGGTGGGGGAGTCGGCTTCGCATCTGCTGACCTCCCCCCCCCCCCTCCCCCTTCAAATAATCTTGGATCCGCCAATTAAGATCGTCAGCGGAAAATATTTCGGGATCCGAGCAAGACGAGTAACCAATTTTTATGTTTTTTCAAGGGACTTAGTTCGCGGAAGATCGCCATCGGGAGATCATTCGCGCTCCGAGCGAGACGAGAAACAAATTTTTATGTTTATTCGAGTGACTTCGTTTGCGCAAGATCGTCAGCGGGATATCGGGATATCTTCAGACGGTAAACTCAAAAGTAAACTCATTTTGTTAAATGTTGCATTCAAGTTCATAAATGACATGAAACGTTTTCTACAATGAAAGCGTATTTCATTATGTTAAAACATTTCTCTAGGTGTGGTTTTCTTCAGTTGGCCTTGACCAGGCAATTTGCCCACGTGCCTGTTTGGTTATTATGTTGTCTAACTATCTGAATGGTTCTCATGGAACAATCAAACCCTGTGGCAGTTTGGCGGCCCAAAACCCTCCTATGTCAACCGCTTGGTAAAAAATGTAGCCTTTCACTAAGAATCCGCATATTAAAAGATTTGGGAGTGTGAGTATTAAAATGGTTACGCCAGGTAGGTCAATGTCCTATTACTCACATCCCCAATTTTCACAAGATCGGTCGCTAGTTGTTAAGTAATACATGTATAGTAATGTAAAATTTAAATTATGGGCACCCTTGTAGACATGTACAAAAATGCGAAAGGAGTGATTTTTTTTTCTTTGCTAGTTGAGTGTATATTACATGTAAAAATATTCTTTTGATGACGTCTTGTTCGGAAAATTTACTAACTCAATTTGAAGCTGTAGCCACGCAGGCCCATAGCCAGTAATTTCAAAAGGAGGGTTCTTATTCTGAAAAAGTTAACCTTTTTCCATAAAAACTTCATGAACCTAGATCAAATTTTACCCAGAGTGGACCTTTTTCCACCAAAAGGGGCGGTTCTTTCTTTCTTTCTTTCGAACC